ACTTCCTGAGCCTCTTTCAAAATCGCCACTGCAAGCTAAGAGTGCGAGATCAAGGGGACAAATGAGGTTGAAGAATTAAAAGTGCATAAACACTCTCTGAAAGTGGGCCAGGACTCTTCAGAAAAGCAGCTGTCCCCGCTGAGCCTTCAGTGTCCTTCCATATTATTTTTCCATCTCTTAGTCCTATTTGGATAAATATGTTTAAAATGTTCAGGGCAAAACCTCCATTGCTCCACCCATTGCTCGGAGAATTTTTTTTTTTTCAGTCTGTCAAAAGTCAGCAGAGAAATTCACAGCTTAAGAGCAGTTTGGGGTAGTTTTCTCTCTTCCTCTTTTAATTGTCCTTTTGGGTACAGGTTGAGGTTTGCTAGAGTACTCTACTTAGGTTCACTACTAAACCCTGTCTGGTTATAGGCTGATCATTCACCTAATATAAGTTGTTTGACTACCAGCTGAACTCAGATGGAAGATGATGGTTTAAAATTGTAACATGGGTAGAACCAATCTTGCCTCTATTGAAAATAGTGACAGATCCTCTGTCAACTCAAGATGAGGCATTGCAGTTCCAACTGAGAGAAAATATGATGAGCTCAAGCTTTTTCTTTTGTAGGATCTCAAGCGTGTGCTTAAAAGCTGTGCTGAGCTTGATGCAGAATGGAGTAGGAGTTCAGTGCACAGGGAGTTAGTAAGTAGAGATTTATCAGTAAGGATCTTCATGCCTTCAGCTACTTGCCAGTATTCCAGAAAAACAACACTGGAGATCTTGTATTCTCTGGTTTTATAATGTATTCTATGATGAATTCTATGAAATATAATTGTTTCCAAATGGTATTTTAAATTGTTACATTTTAGAAGTTCCAGCCTTTCTGATGTCTTTTACAGTTACATCAGTGAGAATCCTGAAGTATCATGTAAATTCTATATCATCTTACACTTTTAATTAAAACAGCAGTATTGCCACCAGCACTCTAAAATAACATGCGACTGCTGAAATACCTATTTTGCGTACCACTTTTTATTCTGTTCTTCAGCAGCATGTGATTGTGATGACTTTAATATATGACTTTTGGTGTCTTTTTTACAAAACATTTTAATAGTTATCCCAAATTTTAATTTAGGAAAATTTCCTGTTTTTATTGTACAAAATTAATGCTTGTGCTAACATTGATGGGTGATCTTATAGTCAAAAAAAAAAAGGCCCAGAGGTGCAATGCAGAAAGTTGTCTGAAGTAACATGACTGTTGAAAAACATTTCAGTTGATTGTGAAAGTAATAGGGCAAAAATTTTATTTTAAAAAATATTTCAAGATACTTTGGCTTTTGCTTTTACTATCATGTGGTACATCCCCCCCAAACCCAGCCAAAGCCCAACTGTTCATGCTATTTCAGCTAAATAAATTGTGCAGAGGATTAAATGACTATATGTGAATATGCATGTGAGAAGACCTAGTACTGCAGCTACCACTTGTAAAAGCAGTTAGGACCAGTAAGTATATTGGGAGATATAAATTTCTATTTTTAAATTAAAATAAAAAATGATTTTTTTATTTGTATAAAGTTGTAATTTTGCTGTTAACTATAACTTTCATTTTTTTACTGAAATAGTTTTGTAATCTGCATTTAGAATTTCTAATGTGAAAAGGAATTTACAAAATCTAGTTTAATAAAGATTTTTTGCCACAATTATAGCCTTCTGTCTTTCCTTGGAAAACCAGACTTCAGATTGTATCAAATTTTGACAAATAGTAGCCTTGGAGTTCTTCATGAAAGCCACTTGCCTTGACTTCAGGATACCATCTGTATGGAGATGAAGCAACCATCTGCAGGCATAAAAAGGAACAGATTTGTGGCCTGAATTTCAGTGTTGCAAGTGGGAGCTGAATGCTCACATTACTGAAAATGAGGATCATGGTGTCAGATTTTTTTTTTTGGCCTGAAGTAGCTGAAAAGATGCTATTCCAGCCTAGCTTACTTACGGGAGAGTGAGGGCAGTGGTGTATGTCATGGAGAGAGGCCAGTATGACCACTGGAATCATGGGAATTTGGGGGAGGGAAGTGTTCTGGATAGACCTGATTTAGCAAGACCCTTTAGGTCAGGGCCAGTGACAGGCTGGATCCTGAGGAAGCACAACTCTGTACTGTTGTGGATTTGGAGCTAAGTAAGCCTGTCCGGCTTTTCCCAAGCCTGCTCTATTCTGGTCAGATGCAGATATTCCTTTGTGTTGTTCTGGAAGTGCAGAAAGACACCTGAGACCAAAGTGCTGGCTAGAGTGCAGCCTATTTTATTAGCTCAGTTTAAGGACAACTGGCTTTGACCCAAGTTGACTCCTGCAGAATTGTTCCTATGACTTAATTGCCTTGTAGCTTGGATTGCTGCAGAAACAAGTCAGCCTTGTGCATTTCCACAGCAAAGCCCTAACACACAGACTGTTCAAGAGAGCAGGGAAAGCAGGTTTTGGGAACACAGAAAGCTTGGCAGATCTTGTTTTAGATCTGACATGGCTGATCCCGAGCCACAGTTACTAGACCACAACATTGGTGAATGCCTTATTGGTTGTGTGCTCCTTCCTTACAGGACTTCCTTCTGGCAGTGTGATTCAAGCACCAGCTTGGGGATTAGTCTCTCAAGTTGTGACGTTTTAAAGTGGAGGTACTGCTAGTGGACTTGCCTTCTTTCTGGAGACAGGACTGCAGTTCTGTGTGGAGACCCATCTTAACTCCTACCCTTGCTAAAGCAGTCCATCCTGATTCACTAGCCTCTGCCTCAGTTCATACCCTTATTTCCTCTGAGTCCTGGAATAGCCCTGAGCTCCTCTCTGCTTCCAGCCGGGAGATGCTCCTCAACAGCACTCTGGGGATTTCTGAGTCTTTCTCCCTATTTAAATATGAGAAGTGGAATATTTTTATCTGTCCTTACTTAAGGAAATAATTTGAACTTTAAGACTGACAGTTGAAGTGTGGTAATATAAAAATATTGCTGGAGGCAAACAGAAATTTTCAGCCCAAATTATTAAAGCATAATTAAATGTGTCTGCTGGTGGAATGTGTCAGGTAGCTCGACAATAGGTGGTGCCCTTTCCAACGGCTCAGAGTGATGGTGGCAGCAGTTTTTACTGTGCCCTTACCAGAGCTGTTGTTTCTCTGTATGACAGACACTAAAGGATGTTATTACATATCACGAGCTGTTCATTTCTTTCTCAGTGGGAGAATCCTGTATTCAGAGTATTATTTTGGTGACTTTTTTTTCTTCTTTACAGGTGGGTGGGGTAGCTTGTTTTTAAAATATACTTGCTGCTCTGTGCTAAAGATGGGCAAGTCAAGTTTATTTTTGCACTCAGGTTTGAAGATGATAATACTGGGGTTTCTCCATTAGCTGTCCTGTGTTGGTTTTTGTAGGTTGGTTGTCTAATTGCTTGGACAGATCAGTCTGGAGATGGATATATCAGTTTGGAGATGGATAGAAAGGCATTGTGCTGTTAGGTAAAGTCCTGTGCCACTGTGGATGTTGGTGGCACAGTCATCTTAAAAACCCTCATGGGGGTGGATCTTCTTGATGTTGGTTGACGTTCTGCATCATGGGGGCCTGGCTGGGCTAGCAGTGGCTTCTCACTAGTTGGCATCATTAAAAGTTTCCTTTTTCCTATAGCCTGAGTGGCTTCTACATGGCATGGAGCTGGGAGGCATTTGTCTTCTGAGGATAAGCTCAGAGAACCCTTCCTATGAACGGAGCCTGTGTTTGTCCCAAATAACAGTTAGGACCTTCAGAGGATCCACTCTCCGGGCCAGTCTGCCCTGTGTCCCTGACTGCTGGAGAGCCTTTGGGATGCTGAATCAGGTCTGCAGCCTTCTCCCCCACATCTCAGATGCAAATTCATCAGGGAGATGTTGAGGGAGCCTACAGAGTACAGAGATGCCTTGTAAGCGCTAAGAATCTTGTGGGGAAGATCTATGGAGGCACACAGATGGGCCATGTCTGAGCGACCACATTGCCAGGTGCAGGCACAGGCCCTGAAAGAGCTGTGGAGGAAGACTGGCTACTGGATCCAGACCAATATCAAGAGACTGCTGAGATGAAGAAGAAAGGCCTATTACAGCATGAGGGACATTATGCTGGAGGATGGATGGTGGCACTAAGTAAGGACATGGCATTGAATTGAGAGGATGGCAAACACTAGAAGGGATCTGCAAAACCTGATAGGGAAAGGTGTCAAGTGGTGAGTGGGCAGTGCAGAGGTGTCCAGAGACCCTGAGGGGCCGCAGGATCATGAAGTAGGGTACTATGCGTAGATGGGGCACTACTGCTGGGACAGCCCATTTCCCTCAGCTCCAGCAGAGCAGTGGTGGTATATCCAAACCAGCCTCTCAGAGCAGGCTGTCACTGGCACACACCATTCAGAGGTCTTGCTGAATTAAATGTAGTAGATAGGGCTCAACATCCTTGTTTTGTACCATGTTCAGGTTTGGGATCCTATTTTAGCTTTATTTATGTAACACTTATATTTTAAGAATACTACACAGATCTTTGTCTTGACTGAGAAAAAAAAACTATGTTGCAGACTTTGGGGGTGCAGTGGGGACAACTTGCAGTTTTGGTAGCTTTAGATGAACAAATGGGGCTTTGGCATCCAATCCACAACGGACATTATGGCAATCCCTGCCACTTCAAGGGTTGAAAAAGACATTCATGTATCCCCAGTGCCACTAGAGGCCTGAGACCCTTGTGCTGTCATGCTCTCTGACCTTTAACTCAAGCTGTGGAAACAGAAAGGACTGAGGGGGACCACAGGATAAAAGCCACCATCTTGCTTTCTTTCCTCCCTGTTGTCCAAAGCTGTTTTGTGTCCTCTGTCATGGTGCTGGGTCTGAAACTAGATTTGTGTAGTCCTTGTGAATAGGGAACATGGTCCAGGGAAATCTTACATGACTTGGAGAATGCTAAAAGAATAGCAAAATATTAAATGCTGATGCATTTCCTCTGTGTGATCAGGATCTGATATCTACAACTTTCTTTGGGCAGTAGAACATTTGAGTGTGGCAGTGCTGCGATGACAATTGTTCTTTCTACAAGCTTGGTAAGCAACTGTATGGATCAATATTATTTTTCTGTATCTTGAGAAACAGGACTCTCCTCCTGTGTACACATCCATGGCTAGTCATACATACTGGCCAGCAGAGCAAGCAGTGGAAGTCCTCTGCTTGTGCCACAGATTTAATCAGTTTGGTCTGTAAATGGAGGAATGGTAGTCCTGTCAAGTTGGCCTGTGGGAGTTCTGCATGATAGTGCTTGCTCCACGTCAGCTAACTCTCAAGGCATTGCCTTGGATTCCTACCTCAACATCAGGGCAGAAGTAGTCTTCTTCACCTATTTATCCTTCTTGCCTTTCCAGATTATCTCCTTTCACTGTCTTGCAGTGCCATATAGACAAGTCACGGGTGATGGGGAGCTTCAGCTTTTCGGCACTTATCAAGATAACCATGTAAAGTAGCTATCTTGATATGCTGTACGGAGAGCAGAACATCCCTGGAGGGATGATGCACCTTGGCCGGCAGGGAGGCTTTCACAAAAGAATGCTTTGGGAGCAGTTCAGGGCAGCTATGTCAGGCTCCTGTTCTGAGCCTTGTTCTGGGGCAACATCTCCATGTTCATGGACTAGAAAGGAGAAACTGGCTGGTGCAGCAGAGAGCCTTAGGCTGCAAAGTGTAACTATCCCTACCTCCTTCTTTGAAACAGGAGCAAGTGGGAAAAGTACATTCAAAACAAAACCAGCTGCTGCCTTCAGATTGCTGAGTTTACCAAGAGGAACCCCAACGGCTTCTGACAGCTGGGGCAGGAGGCACGGTTTGTGCTGGCGTTTTCTTTCCTGACAAGGTTAAAGCACACACAGCAGCAACAACGGGCAGGGCAAGGCTGCGGGAGCGGGGCTGGGGCAGGAGCAGCCGCTGGAGAGAAGGGAGCGGGGAGCACGGGCCCTGCTCCCGCCGTGGGTGCCGGCAGGCTCCGTGTGCCTCGCGGTTCCGCGGGCCCGGGGCCGAGCTGCCGGAGCCTCCCCTGACCAGGGCACGGGCGCAGGGAAGGGAGAGCCCCGGGGCGGCTCTACGAGGCTGCTGAGGAAAGCGGCGTCCTCCGGCACTTCCCTGCTGCGACACAGCGCAGCCGGACGCCTCCTGGGCGGAACCAAAGGAGAAACCAGCGTTTTCCAGCGCTGCCCGCCTGCGCCAGCGTTTGCTGCCCCGGGCAGCCGCGCTGGGAGCACATCAGCGGCTCTGGGCCTTCGGCTGGCCCTGAAGCCACGGAGCAGCCTCTGGTTGGGTGTGATTTCACAGAGGAAACCACTGGAACCTCCTCCACGGTTTCGGCAAAGCCACTGGGATTATTTTTGCATTAAATCCAGATGGGGGAAAGAAGTGTAAATGTCCCTCGGGAGAGAGAAAACTGCACAAATCAGACAGTTCGGAGAAACAGATGTGGGCTTGCACGTTCTGCATGTGGAAGCGTTTGCCGGCTGGAGAGGGCTGCCCTCAGCCGCAGGGCTGCCCAGTGGGGGGCAAATGTCTCCCAAGAGCTCCAGCAAAAAAACAAGAGGACAACCACGGAAAGAATCTTCTTCCCTCAATAGGGTGGATGGATATTTAGGGAATAGTACCTGATTTGGGGGAAGAAGATTGAATTTGTTCTTAGACACTGGAACAGATTGTCCAGGGAGGTTCTGGATGTCCCAACCCTGGCAGTGTTCAAAGCCAGGTTGGATAACAGGGCCTTGAGCAACCTGGTCTAGTGGGAGGTGTCTCTGCCCATGGCAGGGGGGCTTGGAACTAGATGATCTTTAAGGTCCATTCCAACCCCTTAACATTCTATTATTCTATGATGGGACTGCTTTCACAGGCTGTCCCAGAATGAGAGACGGGGGAGTTAAGTAACCCTCAGTGCAGTTCCTAGGCACGCTTCACTTTCAAGAAAGAGGATGTAGGTTTTCATGTTGCTCTGGAGGAAAGCACTTCCTGTACATTGTGCTGACCAGTAGTTTTGTGCTGGCGTCACAGGAGGAATTGTGCTAGGAAGTTAGGACACTGACTTCTCCGTATCAGATTGCAAGAAAAAATAAGGTGTGTAAACATTAGTTTTGTCACAGCACACGTTGCTGACAATATGATCTCAACAGAAATATCCCAGAGAAATAGCTAATTATTAATCTGTACACAGTGAGAAAACACGTAAAAGTCATAAAGAGTAGTTCTGTAGTTAAGATAGCAGAAAGCTCTCGTCTCAGAAAATGGGGAAATCTCTGGCTTCCTTACCTGCAAAAGTGTATGGGTTTAACGTATGGAGCTGCATCAGTCTTGAAAAGAGGCTGGATGAATGTAGATACCTGCACACAAATGCTGACGCCAAACCCAAGTTTGATCATCAATTGCACAACTCAAGGTTATCTGTTTTGGGCCTGAGAGGTCTGTGCTGCTCAGGCATGCCCAGGTCTGAATTGCTCAGTACCTTGGATCCATCTCAGCACTACACTCAGAAACTGGGTGGCCAAGAGCCAAATTCCCTGAGCAGGTGTAGCTGGAGGGCTGCTCTGTGGCCACCTGAAGCATAGGCAAGCCTGTCACTGAAGGGGAAGAGGCAGTGGCATGGGACGGGGCTCCACCTGGATTGAGTTGAAGGTTGAACTTTGTAATTCAGGAGGGAGGCAGGAGGGTCCATAGGGAGGGGGTGGCATTTCAGGCAGGTTCCCTTATTTAGGCTTCTCTGTCAGGCATGCTCCAGCCTCAGTATGCTGGAGGGCTTTGACTCACCCTCTGAAGGCTTCTAGTCCTGCCCACACAATGTGTCAGAAACCTGTCTCATGCTAGATTTTGGATTCTCTTTTATCACCACATGCTTCAGTTTGTGCCACTGCAATACCAAACCCGAGGGTGTCTAACACACAACGTTGGCTTGCTGAGGAACCAGAGCCTAAATTCATCAAGGCATAGTAAATAGTAGCGTGAGAGTTCCACCGGAATCCATGTAGGAAGTTCTTATGAAACTGTGTTTTCATTTCCCCTTTCAGATTTAGTGCTCTCACAGTGAGTAATGCTGCAGAAGTTGCTGTGCCTGGTCTGCTTTAAAGACTCTCTCAGCAATGCTCTCTGCCATACTGTGAGAAAGCCTCCCTTTTGCTGAGGTATCTGTTCCTGGGAAGGGAGTACTTTCACCCCCAGGTTGAAATGGGTCTGGGCAACCTACCTGATTTCCCCTGTGCTGCCCAGAAACTTGAGGGAAAGCAAATAGCCGCATCACAGTTTTCCCAACGCACAGCTGGCATCTTGACCACATATATTTTTCCCACCTCTCTTTGCAAAGGATACAAAAAAAAATAATTAGGCTCTTTTTTAAACAAAATAAGCATACTTCTTCTTGTGTGTTGTTTATAGCTCTGGTGCAGTGGCTAGATATAAGCAACAATTAGCTTTATTTTCTATAATATAATGATCCTCTAGGACAGGAGAAAGGCTTGTAGGGCTAAATACAGTGAATATCAAGAGTGTCATGGTTTACTTCCTGAGCATTGCACATACCATACTGTTTAAGGCAGACCAAAATCAGAGCTGAGTGAATCTGAGAACAAAAAGGAAATCAGGCAGGGGGGATAGGAGCAGCTTCCTTCCTTAATCTCAAACACCTTCCTACCATCAGCTGCTTGCTGGTTTTTCCAAGAGGGACAGAAATCAGTGGATGAAGAACAAATGTGACCTTTCATTGTAAACTGAACCACGTCAACACCCCATGTCATTTTAGATAATTTGTTACAAACCCTTAGTTACTTGTAGTTTAAGACTTCTTTTTTTTTTTGCTCTCAGCTTACTTTTCAATGCAAAAATAAATTGCACCCTACCCTGTAAATATTTTCCACAACAAAGTGTTCGTTTCTGAATATCCCAGATAATGACTCATAATGAGTTTTAAAAAAAGGAGAAGTGATGTATTTTTTAATGTGTTAACTATTCTCTCACAGCCAGATGTTCCCCTTCATTGCACAGCATGAAGAGGTGAAAGGGAGCAGAAAAACTGCAGTAAAAAAGACGCACACACAAAAAAAAAGCCCAACAACCAACCAAGGATCAAGTGAAACAGGTCAGGGTGCAAGATTACACCTACCTTTGGCATTGCTTACACGTTGTGCAGAGAGCATGGAGCTGAGGGTCTTTTGTTGGAGTTTCAGGTCACTTGGAAGTGAAGTCATGGTGCAAATGTGTGAAGCATGTGTATCCCTAAGAAAGGTCTCAAATTAATCAAATTCAACTATTTTTGGGAAGTTATTCAGTCAAGATCCTCCAGGGAGCACAATGGAGGGAAATGGGTGGAAATCAAGACATGTTAGATCACATTTCTTATACTACAATCTTGTTTATTTGCTGGGTTCACTCGATTCAAAAGTTGTTTATGGAGTATTTTACAGATGGATGCACTCTTTTTCCAGAAATGCAAATTACTTAGCCAGATGGCCTCACATCTGGATTAGTCTCAGCACGAAACAGAAAGGAGTAGTTGCATTTTTAAGTATCTGCTCTCTGTGGCAGACCTATAATTGGTGATGATCACCAAAGACATTTATATCAGTATAATTTGTGAATAGTATTTATTTCTCTGCTTCTGACAGTTCTGAATGTTTCTGATGGAAACATTTTAAAGTGTTTGGGTGTCTGATTTTCTTTATCACAACTGCATTGGAAACTTACTGCCTGATTGCATACGCTGGTATTGGAAAACCCAAACTCAGTTAAAAACAGATGAATAGATATTTAATGTGAAAATTAAGTAACACAAGTTCTCATGCAAGCTGATAGTGCACTGAAGCCCCTTATCCAAAATTTTGTCCCAAGCTAAAAGGAAGATTGAAGATTTTAATAAAATAAAATTCCAAAAATGCCTTCTCTGAGCCATCCTTCCTTACCTTCATCCCTGTTGGTAATTAACTGAATCAATTTCATTTCATAGGGAAAGAAACAAATGGATTCCCCATCCTAACTGTGCAGCACTGTTCTGCAAGCTTTGTATCAGCAGGGGTTTACAGCATGTTTACATAGGTTGTGTTCTTTCAGCAGCTATTTATATTTTTGGCACAACTGCCTTTCATCTACACATAAATTTTCTTTTTTGTTTCCTTTTTGCTTTATCTAGTAAATTATTTTGTTGAGTTTTAATCTTCCTTGGAAGCAAGATTTATCTTGTAATGCACTGAACTGTCATATTGTTAAAGTGGACAAATTCGTTAGCTGTCTTCAGAGAGTTCCCATCCTGCAAGGAACATAAAATTCATAGCTTTCAATATGGATCAGGCAGCCTGTTCCTACTATTTCATGGCTAGAGATGGTCTGAAGTGGCTTTACTGACCCAAAATATTTGCTGAAAAGGACTTGGATTCCATTTCTGTGCCTCTGGGTTTCAAAGCTTATGGGAACCCACTGCTCATGACTGCCTGAGGACCAGAGAGTCCACTGCACTGGTCAGCCGGGCCCCTCGTGTTCAGCTCTGGGGCAGCTCTTCTGCTGTGCTGGTGTGCTTGGGCTGCTTAAGGAGTATGGGACAGGAATGCCGTCCCTGCAGTCTGATTGCCTGATCACATAAAATGGACAACATCCTGTGCTGACAGTCCTTGGAGTGTAGACCATAGACACCTGAAATCCTGAAACTGTCATCACAGCTTTGCTTTCAGTGTTGTGGTAGGAAATTTGCAAATGATGAGAATCTGGCCAGCTCAATTTGTCTATGCTGGGAAAGGTGGGAGTCTCAATGACTGTAGTCCCTCCACCTGCTCAGCCTCTTTATGCTGGTAGAAGAGAGAACATACACACTGATAAAATGATACTACTGATCAATCCTAACTAATGCTTCAGAGGGATCCTCACTGAATCACAACAAAGCCATGTACACCAATGTTGAATCAGCCCAAAAGTACCTGCCTTGAGTTTTGCACAAAGTCAACTGAATATGTGTACTCTCCTTTTAAAGGCAGGACCATATTCCAGCTTGCAGAAAAGTATCCCAAGTCTCATTCATGCTACTGGAGTGTGAATTGCATGTAGCACTACTAGGCAGTCGTCAGTCTGCTCTGTTTCTACTCACACTGGAGCTGCTGGGCTGCCCTACGCCATTAGCCCCTGTAGCAGAGAGGAGGCAGCTGTAGGAGCAGCAGAGTGCAAAGAGAAAGCTTTCTGCAGGCTGGAGGTTTTGCCCCCCCTCCCCCATCGTCAAAGTTTTTACATCTGCTCCCATAGTCACCACAGAGAGAAAGATATATACACTCAAATACCAACCCACAACAAACCCACACAGGCAGAGCTGAGAAGCTCTCACCAGGAAGCTGACTTACGCTAAACCTCTCCACTCTTTCTCGTCACACTGCATCTGGGTCTGCTGTCAGTGCTGCCTCCAGATGAACTAGACCCAGTTGCCAGGACTAATTTAGCCTGAATGTGCAGTGGTCTCTGGTTACCTCTTGAGGTTTTGGTTTTTTTTGTCCTTTCAAGAATATAATTGTTCTAATCTGCTAAAAAAAAGTCCATCTGAAAAAGCCAAGAACACAGAACGCCACTCTTCTTTTTTTCTTCCCCTGTCTCGTCTAAAATACTTGACTTCCGTAACATTTATTTTCAACAGCCACTTTCAGCTTCCTGTCTCTGGTGAGTTCATTGCATTTTCTTTTTTTTTTCCAAAAGTCTTAATGTGAATTGATATTCTGAATTGAATTCAGTATCTTTTGGTTTACATTTGTTAATTATTTTTATTAATAAGTTTGTGACATTGGTTCGTGTAATCAGTCTGACTTTTAATACTATCTGGTAACTATTCAGTATTGTCATACAGAATTGAACACTGGTCCGGGTTGTGTATTTTCTGGATTTTCACTTGTTCCAGAGTTTTTTTCCACTTCAGCGTAAAAAGGCCTTATATAAAGTAGAAAGAGGGGTGTAATGGGCTGTGGCATGCCAATTTTTAACATGTTAACTGAGGGAAGAAAAAAGAGAAAATGGGAATTACTCTAAGGATGGTGGGTCTGATTCTGATGCTCTTTGCCATTGTATGAACTATGAAATTGGGAGTGATAGGCATGTGTAAACCTGCAACACCTCAAAGGATGGTTTTCTTCCTCATTTGTGAAGTACATTATGCTTATGAGAAAACTGTTCTGCTTCATCTTAAAGTTCCCAAGCAAATTTAGATGAAGATTTTATTGTGAGAATTTGAGAAAAGTTGCTCTTAGGACCAGAGTGAGATTCAATGTATTTTTAATTTGCCAAGATATCTGGCTCTGGCTGTGGCTCCAGCAGCTGCCTGTTCCTGCTGGGTCTAACAAGTGCGTGTGCCGCCTTCTGAGGTGGAAGATTGCTGTCTCAATGGCCATGTCTGTAACTCTCTGCTTTCAACTCACCCCCACAGCTTCTTTTCTGCTTTCTGAGCCAACTGTGTCATGCTTATGGTGTGGGGTCCCCTTAGAGAGCAGTTTGTGTGTGCATGCATGTGTGCACATTTGTGCACACCCATTTCTAGATTGTGCTTACAAAACCTTCATCTTATGATGCTCTAGAGGCAATGGGATGGTCTTGTCACATTGCCAGTGAGATGCAGTTAACCTAAAAGATGAATGAGGATGGAGCACACTGAGGCCAGAACCATTCCTTTGACACAGACCTCCACAAAAAATCTGAATGTGGATTTAAGATTTTCTAACTTTTTCTTTCAGCTGTGTTTCCACCTGTGGATGGGGCAGAAGTGAAGCTGTGGCATCTTGTGGAGGCCAGCTTTAGCATGGGATTTATCCTGAAGAAAATACTTGCAGAAGAAAAAGGTAGGGTAAATGAGATTAGTTAGTTGTTAACAGGCATATCTATTAGCAAATTTTGGTGTCTGCTGCTGTTGGAATAAGGTGGGATTGTGCTTTTTATTGTGCTGTTTCGCATTTCACATTTCCGCCCCCCACAATCTAGACCAGTGTGTGATTACAGATGTTCCAGTAGGAAGGACCATATGTGTATACTTACCTGACTTTAGAATGGGGTTTCATCTTCTTTTTCAGAGACAGGTCTAAAGATGTATCATACATGTGAAATTCAATATACCAGAAAAAGTGGTAGGTGATGTGAATACCATGTTTGAGACTTGGGCAGTCACTGCAGGGTCGAAAAACTGCACATGCACTTGCTTCCTGCTAAATTTAGAGAGTAGGTCTTAATGAGGCATAATGCCAAGTTTTGTATTCCCTAGATTAGGTGCTGCAAACCAGGAAAAATAGTAGTTTTGTATTTATAGAGAATCTATGTTTTTATAACTAATCTGTACTTACTGTCCAAGTTCCAGAGCAAAGAATTAAATTTAAAAATGGGCGTGATTTTCATGTATTGTAAATGCATAGTCCATCAGCAGGGCAACATGGCTGTAAATTACTGTCATTTAATCCCATATTAAGGTAATTTTACTATGCCAAAGCAGTGTGAAATCAGCTCCTAGCAGAAGATCATCAGGCCTCACATGACTGCCTGTATCAGAGGACAATCCCTATGTCTACACGCAGTGCAGTAAAACCATGATATTGTAGCTGTACTTCCACAAAGTTACTACAAATATTAAACACTAAAAATACTTTTCCAACCTGGTGACTGGTTTAACAAATTCTGGCTCAGCTGCTGCAATGGGAGTGTGAATTTGGAGAGAAAATGGAAGCACTCTCCCTGTTGCATATACTTATCAACTTAGAGGCTGATGCTAAAGTCGCATTGCTGGTAACAGCTACTAGTGCCAGTAATATTAGGGAGGCAATCTCTAGTGCAGTGAGGGTCAAGGCATATAAATCCTCAAAGATGTAAGTAGGTGATTTGCAGTATACCCAGAGCACACAGGAAATGAGCAGCAACTGTGGTGGCGGTCTCACAGGCTGAGCCTCTGGCCCATCCTGTTGAGCAGCAGGTCTGCACCAGCAGAAGCTCCTGAGGAGCTTTTCTCCGTGTTGCTTTCTGATAATCAGCCAGGAGGACACCCAGGCAGGGAGATGAAATGCTGCTGTTTCTCCTCTTACTTTTGCTGTGCAGTTCTAGGTGCATAGCAGCAGCTGGGTTAGGCACTTTAAATGAAAAAGATTTTCAATGAAAAAATTTTCAATGAAAAAGACCTCTTCTCTCTAAAGCAAACACACACCCCATTTTCTTTGTAAAATGTTGGTGCTGTGATTCTATAGTTTGCATTAAGAAACAGTCAAATGTTACCGAATGCACTATTCAAGTGATTATTTTGATTGACATTGATCGTAAAGTGAAAATTTGCGGATTTTTTTATTATGCTTTTGATTATTGTTTGAAAAGAGATAAAAGAATTAACTGTAAAACTTGCCTTTTTCAAAGTCTTAGTGTGATACTTCAGACACCACGCCACACAGCTTAACATCATTTCCAAATTAGGTTCTCGCTTTTTTGGCCAGCAGTGTGTAGTTTTATTAAATCAGCAGTTTTCAAATGTTTTCATGCTATGACACAGCTTACAGCTGAAAAATGTCTTGGGATAACCCCAGCATATTAATTAAGAAAGGAAGTTGGCTGCAGCTGTCTCAAGCCAACTATTAAAGCATTATGGCCTTAAAATACTGAACAGGATCACACAAATACAAAAAGCAATGTAACAACAAGATTTGTGGGCTGTAGCCTATTACTAGCTCTTCTCCACAAAACCAAATAGAGTTGCCTATGTGCTTAGCAGAATTTAGTTGTCCTTCAATTCTTATGTCAGTGAAGAACTAGAAAACCTTCCTAATCCACCAGAAGTGTCAGCCTACAGTGAGAGGGGGGACATTTGGAGCCAGTGAAACCTCTGCAGTGCAGCAGTGAGTGTGAGCACTGGGTGTCATGGGTACAAAACTTTGGTGTATCCGGTCTGAAACAAGCAGCTGCCAAAGTGAAATGGAGCAATAGTCCTAGCAGTCACGTTCTGCTGGAGGCTGTGCTGGAAGATTGCTGTCACTGGCAGCTGGAGGATAGGTGGGAACACAGTCTGAACACTTACTGCATGCATGTATTCCTCATGGAGCAGGTACAGGAGTATTCGCTTGTGCCTAGCCCTGCCTGGGGTTGTGCCCTGGGTTTATGGCAAATCCTTTATCTTTCCCACCCTGTACAATTGCCTGCCGCTGTGTCTGCATCATATTTCTTTTGCACAAGGAATTACATTTGATCTTCGGTTACAGAAGCCAAGAAGTGTAAATTCCTAAGGGATGAGGGTGGGGGCTGAACTTGGCATGCTTGTCTTTACCTGATGAAAGTATGAACCTTCTGGAAACCACAGGAGGATTCTGCTATGGTTTGGGGGTTTCCCTGAGGGGGTCGTGGTGACTTATCATGTAGGAAAGACCCAACATATGCTGGAAAAGGAACAAACACCTCTACTGGCAGAAGCCGGCACGGAGGGTTACGTACTGTGCACAATGTCGCTTCTCGCATACAAGTGTGAGCGTGGAGTGCCAGTCTCAGTAACTGACACTTGCCCAGTTGGAGGTTGCTGTACCATCTGGTGATATCTCTTTTTCTCATGAGTGACAGTGAGTTGCTTTTGAAGATTATCCTGGTTTATATCAAACTACAGATATAACTGGCTCTCCTAATATAAAAGTTGAGACCAAGACCCCTGGGTAGCAAGGGGTCTCTTCTGTTTGTCTCCTATGCCATGGTCACTGAAAGAATATGAAACCTCTCACTCTTGCAAGAAAACTGTACTTTCCTTTCATTGATAGGCATGCCAGTGGACACACAGTCTTCAGCTTGCCTTTTTTTTTTTTCATCAAATGACTGTGCTTAAAAACTGTTTTTGGACAGTTAGAAGTTATTAAGTGCAGAGTTATTGAAAAGTCTTTGGAGTTCAAAGGTAATGAATTAATAACATAATTATCTATTAACTTTCTCTCATCATCTGTGAGCTTGTATTTTTTTCATTATAAAAATATACTATAAAACAGCCGTCATAAAAATCTTTCATGTAATTTCTTTCATTTCCATCAGTTTAAATGCAAGTTTTTAAATGTAAGTTTTTAAATTCATGTATCTTTCAGTGGAATTTTAATTCTGGGTGAAAAGCCATTGGGTAAAATATCTCTGAGTTTGAATCAAGTCCACCAGGATTCAAAAAATAAAGCATGGGAAATGGTCTCATAATGTTCAAACATAGCTCTCCTAAAATATCTCTTTTCATATGTGCCATCATTTTCATTCAAAATATGTAAAAATCAAGAAAATCAAGGAAAACTTTCTATGCTTCCCACTGAAGAACTCTGCATTAAGATTTACCATAGTGTGGGGATTTGCATGATCGTTAAAACAACTTAAAGCCAAGTAGATGTCAGCTATAAGTACTCAGCTGAATACTCAAAATACTCAGCTGAAGAATGAGTGAGAAGGATTTATGTGTTACTTTTGGTGGCAAGAATAGTCTTTTCTCCCCTTAACCTATTCCATATGACCCACTGCTGTCTGCAGTATTATATGTTTTATATAAAAGTGGCAAGAAGTTAAGGTTGTACTGCAACCAGAGAAAAGTAAAGGAAAACAGGCAGTAAAATATATATTTTGCTCTGGCATATGGTTGGTGTAAGATATAAATCAATGTAAAATCCGAGCTTCCAGGTATGATTTGTGCTTATTCCAGAAGAAAAAAGAAGAAATCTTGACAGCACGTTCCTTTGAAATTGGGCTTTAATTATAACTATGCATAGGACATAGGCAGTTTGATGTAGGCAAGTATGCATGCCTGTTTATTTTGTCTAATTTAATTTGCTACAATTCAGGAATTCTAGAGAAGCTACATAGTGAGAAAAAAAATCCAACTTGTACTGTAGACACCTGTTATTTCTTATTTTATCCTTGTACCGGGTACAGTGCATGAATACTAGTCGTGGGATAGATTGTGGAAGACAACTCCATTTTTAATTTATAAAACAAATCAGAAGGATAAAGACTTTAAATCTACAAATGCAGGACAAGTTATGATAATTGTAGGTTTTGTATTGCACCTTCTACTTGAAAAATAATTGAAATTATTTCTGAGTAAACCCTCCAAATTTTTAACATTTTAATGTACGTGTGCACACACAAAATTTAAGAATGAACTTAAAGATGGCTGTTTCCCTGTGGCTGAAATGTAGACTATGTTTTTAAACACTGATATATACAGAGACAAGAAAAAGCTTTTTGTTGCTAGCAAAACTAAGGGAAAAAGCTAAAATAATCATAGAATCAACCAAATTGGAAAAGACCTCCGAGATCATCAAGTCCAACTCTTGATCCAACACTGCCGTGGTTACTAGACCATGGCACTAAGTGCCACATCCAGTCTCATCTTAAAAACCTCCAGGGATGGTGAATCCACCACTTCCCTGGGGCAGCCCATTCCAATGTCTGATCACTCTCTCTGTAAAAAATTTCTTCCTAATATCCAACCTAAACTTCCCCTGGTCAGCCTTTCTGTGTTATAAAATAAATAACCAACGAAATTATTGTTGCTTCCTTTACTAGCTTTGCTCATTAACTTCTTCAGAAGTTTAATATTCATCACAACAATACAGAACAGTGACATGCAGTAAATATTAGTTCCTCCTAAATTATAAATAAACAAACAAACAGTATGTTTTAGCAAGAGGGCATTATTGTAAATTGTTTGGTCAACTGAAGCATCATTATTTGCTGTTCAGAACATCTGTACATTCAACACATATTTTCCTTATCACAAAATATGCAAAAATAATCTTCCATTAAACATTGTCAAATTCTGTTCTAACTAATATTTTCCTCCTCCACTTTTTCCTCCCACTGAAAT